AGCTCCTCTGAAGCCAGACGCAAACCAAGTATGCAGCAAGCATTTCCCCTCTGGATGGCCATGCTGAGGCGCTGGAACATGAAACTGGTTGCCCTTGGGTCCCTGGTGGTGTCGATGAGTCTGGAACTCAATTCTTTAAGGAAACGTGTGGCATGTTTTCCCTATGATCCCAAGGTCTCTGATCCCACTGGGACAAATTAATACTATTGGCTTATGTCCCTGTACTTTCTGATCTTGTACTCCTCCCTGGGATCAGCAGCTCTTACCTCTCGCCCGACACTGTGATGGATATAGATGTCAGCCAGTGTGGACACACAGGTATAGTCCCATGCTAAGAGCTTGCCATTCTTCCAGGGATAGATTGTGATCCCGTCGGGGCGGTTTGCTGGGTTGTGGGTATTGTTGGCTGCTAGTGATCGGGGCTCCCTCTCGGCTAGGCATCCAGCTGTAGCAAGGGTTCTCTTAATGATGTCGTTGACCTCATTGTGTCTTGCATGCCAGCCCTTGGTTTTGGAACAGTTAAGACCATGTAGACCATATTGGTCGGCTTGCACTTTGCCGCAAATACACGTATATTCCCTGTGAATTGGGGCAGCAAGGCACAGTCACTGCAATACGGAGGGTCTTAGGGTTGAGGCGCATTCCCATTGCCGATATGAGAACTGTTTGGACGAAGTTCCCGGAGTGATGTGCGCTCACAGCCTGGAGACGGGCGGTCTCCCTGTCTGATGTTACAGCTCTGAGCATGTTGGCAAGCACCTTTTCAGCGATCGGGCCATCCCAGCTTGACTGTTTGCGAGCTAGTGCTGCACCGGGGTTTGGTGCTGGAGCAGCAAGAGTCTCCCATTCAGTGCTGGCACTGGCATAGTTAGGGTCCTGTATTCCTGCTGAGTCACTGAGGTTATCAGGAAGAATTTGTCTTATTAACTCGTTTGACGCTATGGAAGAGGATAGGAAAGCTGGTAGGGCAATCTGAGAGGATCTGCATACTCCCAGCCCCCCTAGCCTGACCGGAAGTGAGGCTTGCAACAACTGTCCATCTTCACGGGAAAGATTCAATACACTCTCTAGCATGATCTTAAGGAAAGAGTCATATTCCTTGAGTTTCGGACTGCTGAAGGCTGGGGAGCATCTCAGAAAGTAGGTAAGTTTTGGGATTGACAGGCACCTGGTGAGTAGGTAGAAGGCATCATGTGTATCAGTGTCTTTCATCCTGCCTTCCATCGTCCGGAGGTCTGAGACTTTTTTTCTAGGATCAGATCGATGACATTGGACCCAAGATATATGGTGGCCTGGTAGCTAACGCTCTCGTTTCACACGGCGAGGGTCTGGGTTCGATTCCCAGCCAGAGTAGAAACATTGGGCGTGTTTCTTTCCACCTGTTGTCTATGTTCCCCATCAGTAAAATGGGTACCTGGGTGTCAGTCGACTGGTGTGGATCGCATCCTGGGACACTGACCTAATTTGCCCGACATGCGGAGCATAACAAGGGGCTTTCTATGTAGTAGTATGTCACTGTTGTCAGCTAGGCCTTGTACTTGTAGTAAATAAAATTTATTATTATTATTATTATTATTATTATTATTATTATTATTATATATATATATATATAATATATATATATATATATATATATATATATATATATATATATATATATATATGTAGCGTCAGTACCTGCCGGAGTGACAGAAGGTGCAGTTGGTGATGGTGATGTTGAGGGTGAGGTTGTCGAGGTTGGGCAGGTAGTCGCATTGGTATGGAGGGAGAAGTTGTACGCTCTGGTTATCACCAGTCCCACAAGCTACCCTGAATGGCAGCTGTTCAGGCAGCTGGTGGTGGTAGCGGGCAGTTGGCACTGCTGAGAACACCAGCGACGCCGCCCCGCTGGCTGCCATCGTTATACTCAAGAACAACTGGAAAGACGTCAACATTGTAACACCGAAATGTTCATGATTTACACCATAATGCTTAAAATTCTCCAAAAAATACACATGAAAACGCCTAAAGCTTTCACTACATTTTAAAACGCCAATAATTGTAAGGAAAACCTCATTAAAAGGCCTAAAATATCAAGAAACACACGTTGGTACACTCAAAATGTTCAGAAAATACATACTAAATAAGGGTAAGCTAGGAAGATGCAAATGAGACGAGGATATTTAAGCAAGATACATGGGACATTTCACCTTTAGGAATCTTACGTAAGTATACTTCATCAGGATACATGTAAGGTCTCACCTTGAAGAATCTTACGTAAGTATACTTCATCAGGATACATGTAAGGTCTCACCTTGAAGAATCTTACGTAAGTATACTTCATCAGGATACATGTAAGGTCTCACCTTGAAGTTACCAATCTTGTCAGCGATCATGCCGGTAAGAGGAGGGCCCACGATAGCAATGACCGGGTTGAAAGCATACACAATACCCAGCTCCTTCTCTGTGATGCCCAGGGATCGTGCCTGCAGCGTCAGGAACGGGAACATTGCCATGGAAGCTGCGGGAGACACAACACGTCAGGAGGATGGAGGTAGAGGTGGAGGAAGGGACGGATTGAGGGAGGTTGGGAGGGAGGAAGGGAGGTTAGGAGGGAGGAAGGGAGGTTAGGAGGGAGGAAGGGAGGTTGGGAGGGAGGAAGGTAGGTTGGGAGGGAGGAAGAGAGGTTGGGAGGGAGGAAGGGAGGAAGGAAGGGAGGTTGGGAGGGAGATTTCTGAAGAATCTTAGGAGTCTCCCATACCTGAAGTTGTGTATTCAGATGACAGTGTAGAACCCACACCGCACAACACAAGCCACACCACACAATACAACCCACACAACACAACAAAACCCACACCACGCAACACAACCCACACCACGCAACACAAGCCACACCACACAACACAACCCACACAACATAACACAAGCCACACCACACAACACAACCCACGCAACACAACACAAGCCACATAACACAAGCCACACAAAACAACACAAGCCTCACAACACAACACAAGCCACACAATACAATCCATGCCACACCACACAATCCACACCACACAATCCACACCACACAACACAAGCCATACAACACAATCCATGCCACACAACACAACCCACACCACACAACACAAGCCACACAACACAATCCATGCCACACAACACAACCTACACCACACAACACAAGCCACGCAACACAATCCATGCCACACAACACAACCCATACCACACAACACAAGCCACACAGCATAACACAAGCCACACAACACAATCCATGCCACACAACACAACCCACACTACACAACACAAGCCATACCACACGATCCATGCCACACAACACAAGCCACACCACAACACAAGCCACACTACACAACACAAGCCACACCACACAATCCATGCCACACAACACAAGCCACACCACACAACACAAGCCACACCACACAATCCACACCCCAGACTTTTTTTATACTGACACACAGTAAACTCTGCTATTACTGAAATAACACACATACACACATACACACACACATAAAACAACACACACACACACACACACACACACACACACACACACACACACACACACACACACACACACACCCCACACACACAACACACACATCCACACACACACACACACACACACACACACACACACACAAAACACACACACACACACACACACACACGCACACACACACACCACACACACACACACAAGGACATGAAGCATTAAACTACAGACCAGTGTCACTGACATGTATAGTATGCAAAATCATGGAGAAGATTATCAGGAGAAGAGTGGCGGAACACCTAGAAATGAATGATCTCATCAACAGCAGCCAACATGGTTTCAGGGACGGGAAATCCTGTGTCACCAACCTACTGGAGTTCTATGACATGTTGACAGCAGTAAGACAAGAGAGAGAGGGGTGGGTGGATTGCATATTCTTGGACTGCAAGAAGGCGTTTGACACAGTTCCACACAAGAAATTAGTGCAAATACTGGAGGACCAAGCAGGGATAACATGGGAAGGCACTACAATGGATCAGGGAATACTTGTCAGGAAGACAGCAGCGAGTCATGGTACGTGGCGAGGTGTCAGAGTGGCACCTGTGACCAGCGGGGTCCCACAGGGTCAGTCCTAGGACCAGTGCTGTTTCTGGTATTTGTGAACGACATGACGGAAGGAATAGACTCTGAGGTGTCCCTGTTTGCAGATGATGTGAAGTTGATGAGAAGAATTCACTCGATCAAAGAGCTGGCAGAACTACAAAGGGATCTGGACAGGCTGCAGACCTGGTCCAGCAATTGGCTCCTGGAGTTCAATCTCACCAAGTGCAAAGTCATGAAGATTGGGGAAGGGCAAAGAAGACCGCAGACGGAGTACAGTCTAGGGGGCCAGAGACTACATACCTCACTCAAGGAAAAAGATCTTGCGGTGAGTATAACACCAGGCACATCTCCTGAAGCGCACATCAACCAAATAACGGCTGCAGCATATGGGCGCCTAGCAAACCTCAGAACAGCATTCCGACATCTTAATAAGGAATCGTTCAGGACCCTGTACACCGTGTACGTTAGGCTCATATTGGAGTATGCGGCACCAGTTTGGAACCCACACCTAGCCAAGCACGTAAAGAAACTAGAGAAAGTGCAAAGGTTTGCAACAAGACTAGTCCCAAAGCTAAGAGGTATGTCCTACGAGGAGAGGTTAAGGGAAATCAACCTGACGACACTGGAGGACAGGAGAGATAGGGGGGACATGATAACGACATACAAAATACTGAGAGGAATTGACAAGGCGGACAAAGGATGTTCCAGAGATTGGACACAGTAACAAGGGGACACAGTTGGAAGTTGAAGACACAGATGAATCACAGGGATGTTAGGAAGCATTTCTTCAGCCACAGAGTAGTCAGTAAGTGGAATAGTTTGGGAAGCGATGTAGTGGAGGCAGGATCCATACATAGCTTTAAGCAGAGGTATGATAAAGCTCACGGCTCAGGGAGAGTGACCT